AAAAAAAAAAAAACCGAAAATTAGAGAAAAAGAGCACTGGACCAGGGAATCTGCTTTTGGATTGTGATTTAAACAACCTAATTTCTTCCTCTATTTTTCTCGAACCCTAGTTCGTCTCTAGACTCTCTAATCTCTATATTGACTCCGGCAAGTGGTCAAGTGGGAATAATCAAATCAATTAATCGAATCCCCTCTAGGGATTAAGGACTAGGTAGCTATAGGTAGTGGTAGCGGGAACAGCAGCAACAGCAACATCTGTGGCCCCAGCTATCATTTCCTCCAGACCATCTCCTCAGCCATCCGTTTCCCTTCTACACCACTTAGAATTCCACCTTTGTTTCACAGTCAAAGCGATTTCTATATGGGGGCACAACCAGGCAATGAATCGGGGTAGCCTGTCAGTCAGTGCGAGGAGAGGCTGAGATCGGGCAACCTATAGTGTATTGCCTCCCCCTCCTCCTCCCATCCTCCTATGCCTTTCTCTCCTCCTCCTCCTCCTCCTCCTCCTCCTCCTCCTCCTCCTCCTTTCCCCCCACCTTCGCACGACCCGACCATCCAGGGTCCTCTCAGGTCCAGGAAAGGACTCCGAAAGTTTCTCGGCTGACCCCGGTTACAAAGCAACAAGGAAAACATGGCTGAAACGCCGTCATTTCATACTCAAATTAGATCGAAGGGAAAAGAGTGGGCAGCCGGAGATTAGCACCTGAGCTTACTGCAGAAAGTCTATCCGTCAGGAAGCTGTTGCCGACGGGTCAGCCTGACCTGACTGCTTCTAGCTCCTCTCGCTTGACTGAGTTGAAGCGTCGCAAGTCGCTGTTGCGTCACTGTCTATTCTCTGTCTCTCGGTCTTTCTTTACCACTGCACGACGGTTGACTACTGTAACTAATTTAAACTAGTTATTGTTAATAAATTACATACAGAGCAAGCATACCTGCATTGATCGGCTGTCTGCGATTGATCAATCAGGCAGATTCTTCATTTCTAGTTTCCCCTCTTTCAAGTGGGAGTCATGCAACAAGCAGTGCCTTGGTGTAGAACTAAGGGATGCTGTGGTGGCATTCATCTAATCTTCCAAGTCTTATAAACTTTGTAGCCTTGATACTCCGGCGAAACAGACGAAGGCCGGTACCGACTCCCGGAAGCGTGAGGCTTGGTTGTTCCTTGAGGATCAGACCTCTGACTAGCTGGAAGTTAACACAACCCGAGATCGGCAGGTGGCAGTGTAGTCCTGACTGACTTATAGGCTTAAGGAACACGGTTTGAGATCGCGACGTGGTCAGTTGTCTTAGAGGAGTCCATTGTCCACGGTCCCACCACGGAGCGGGATCAGAAAGAAGAATGGCGAGCCTCCCTGTGGGAGGGTCTCTTCGGTCTCGAGTAGGGGGCAGAAGAGGAGCCAGACCCGGCCATCGAGGACAATTTTCCTGGACACAACCATGGACAGCTGACCATTGACTGTCAAATGTACAAGTACAGTACTTAGGTAGATAATCGATCCGAACGGAGCTCAACTCCGAGCGGATTTCCAGACGGGTAGGGTCATCAAGTTGGAGACCAAGGGTAAGCTCGCTCGTGACGAACGGCAGCAGCAACAGGGAAAGCCTCGGATCTCCTCCGTGGCCGACGAATGCGAATGATTAGCCTAAGTTAGCCTACGATATGGTGAAGATGACGACGATCGAGCGAAAGAGGAGGGAGGGGCAGTGGAATCGGTCTCTCGATCCGGAAAGCCCACTTTGTCGGAGTAAACCTATTTTATACTCATGAAATCATCTTTTTTTTGTTTCCGACTCAGAGCCTCTGCAGGCTCTAAGTTACTCTCTGAGTTGAGGATTATGGATCCATTAATCCGGGATTCGTCCCGGCAGCAGGCGTGTGAAAGTACGTACGTTGACCTCGGAGTACGGAATGGCGACTGGCAGGTTGACGGGAACGTGGAAAGTCAAACTCGCTTTACCTTCAAAGTAAAGGTCGACGGGTCAACGGTTTGATTGGATGTCGGGGGCAGATCGCTGGTTGCTATTCTTATTCTCTTCACCGACATCCACCTAACACCGGATGTCGCTTCCCCTGATGTTGGAATTGAAACCCGATTGATTCATCGCGAAATTCCACTCCAGGCTGGGGCTTCTTTGTTTCCCTACAGAGTAGTGTGCGTCAATTTGAGACCAGCGCCAGAGAAAGTGTCATCGAAAAAAAGGGAGAAATAAAAAAGGCAAAAGGGAGGGGAGTAAGAAAAAAAAAGACAAAGAAAAGAAAAAGAAGCCATATCGTCATCCGCATCGTGCTGACGATCGACTCGGAATCACTCCTCCGAATTGAGCCTATTGGGTGAAACAACAAACGGCACGAGGCAACAACCGTGGACGGTTCCACTGCGAACAAGCTTGCTTGCGCACAGCAATGAGTAAACTTACCATCGATACCGATGCTGAACAGTAAGTTACCATCGAAGTGCTGACGAAGATGATGCTCATGTTGTTAATTTTTCTCGGGCGAAACATGGACGCCATCGTCTGGCCGAGTTACGGCAGCGAAAAATCTCCGGGCTGTCCACTCATTTGCGTGCAAATGATCGGTTAGCGACGACAACCGTTTGCATGCGCTGATTGGTATTGGCACATCGATCGTTCCGTGCCCAATGCTCTTTGGGAGGTGGCAGTGCGTGCGTGGCGTTTGTACACATATGTACGGATACTAGTATGTAGTAATGTACATTATGTAGTACGTACTATGCAAAGCTACTATGGTGAGATGTCTTTTGAGAAGGAATCAAGAGGACTGTACATTACCTATCCATGGGGATTGTTCACTTTCTCAAGCTGTCAGTCAGGATTCCAGGCTCACCCCTCCCCCTCCTCAGTCCAGTCTTCTGATGAGGGTTATCCCGTGAGTCAGATGTCAACGCCACAATCAGTGTACCCTGCACCAATCGATCTCTCTCGAGAACGGCGCGTTGGCTAACTCGGTCGCGGGCCCATTACCTACCGGTAGTAGTCAGCCACCCAGGCCCGCCTTCCCCAAAGTCTCCGAGAAGCAGACCCAGTCGGGGCGACTATTGTTGAGGTAGTCACGCCTTACTCCGTAGGTCAGTGGCATGGGCCCTTTTCCTCTCTCTCGGTTTCACATTCTCTCAACTGCAGTGGTCGCCTTCAAGAAAGTTTCGGCGATTGTCGATCAACACCGCAGCTCTCTGTCTGTTTCCCAGATTAATGCCGAACCAAACAGGGTCCTTCCCTTTTTCGCCGCTTGGCACTGGGACACACCGTGGACGGTTTGCTGCAAGTCTCCTAAAGCTTCTGGCCCACTGCGAATAATCGGCAATCTGTTCCTCGTGTCGATGCAATCTCTTGGATTTCTTCAGAATAGGTAGACTGAAGCGTGGGGAAGGGGAGGAAAAACATTTCATGCGGCCAAGCCGGCAAATGTTCTGATATGACAGGAGCCGTCCTGACAATTAGTTAAGTTACTGCTGGTTTATTGCTCGAGTTCCAATCGACTACTAAGAAGCCTCAAGCGACTACTAACTCCTACCGAGTAGTTCGTTGTTGCAGCTGCGCAGAACGGAGCAGCACACTGCAGTAACTGACAGTGGCCGTAAAGTCCTTAGCTAGCAGTGGCATACCTACCTACCCTTCACTTCATCCGACAAGTCTCACACATTCTACCACTGGCAAGGCGGGGGAAAATATCTCCTTGACCTATTCTGCTTTGTTGCCAATCCCGCACCCGACGGGCCATATCCGCCAGTCTTACGTATCGGTCGACGGCGTCGTCATATCACAGGGTGTGCACCACTGTTCATTCGTCGCTCCCACCCGGTCGATGACAGTAGCGGCCCATCCAGCCTGCACTGGTGTGGATGCAGGTGCACACTTTTCACTGCTGATGCCGCACTGCCGCGGGTATCGGATATGCTCCCAAGCAAGAGCTGTGCATTCGTTGCATGATTGCCTTTGGGGTTCCCGAAGGCACAGGAACCTAGACAGCTCTGGATGGACTCTAGACCTTTCCGATGAAGAGGAGTGAGTTGACCAGTCAGGCCTATTCTTCGGACCTTTTTTTCGCGTAAACTCTCTCCTTCACAATGCTGCTATGACATTGACACCACGGAGTACAGTGTAATCCCTTCCGTTCACTTTCGAGAAGGGTGCGATCGATCGAGGTAGACAGGACCCGACCCAGTTGAACCCACAAGCCATTTATTGCGCACCACTAGACTCCGGGCAGGATAAGCCCGCCCGACCGAGGGGGTTGTGGTTCCCTGTGGTTCCCAGACTAGAAAGTCACTAGTAAATGCATGTCTAAGGTACCATGTAACGTACCATGTCGGCCGGATGTTCGAGCCGAGATCTGAACAACGATATGGTTAGGACTAAGTAGACTCTGGTGGATGCAAACTCCGACCAGTCACAAGTGGCAAACGACCAAGCTTTTCAGAAGGCACAGAACTGGATTTGGTTCGACAGGAACTGGGAAACTATCGAATTCAAGACAGGAACAGTTGGACAGATGGAGCACTGGGTTCCTACTATGAGACTATGAGACGATGCGTTAGTAACTATTTTCCGGTCTGTGTTCGGCTTGTTGGGATCCATCATCCTACTTCAGGTACCACGCGTAATGAAATAAAAGTACGCGGGTAGATGTCGGATTGATTTCCTGGCGTAGCCTATCTACTTCCCCTGGGAGACTTCTCTTAGTATGAATGTCATGGTAAGTAATGTAACATAGAGGCATCTCTGCGGGCAAAAATGCCTCTTATAGTTTAGTCTTGCACCACTAATGCTTGTGAGATGTGAATGGGAGATTCGGTTGGGGCTGTCTCTGGGTAGCGGGGATTGATATCTCAACCATTCTAGTATTTTATTGTACATACATACTGGTTTTATTCCAGGGTCCCGCCCCATGTGGCTCTCTTCCCGTGACACTTTAGTCTAGTTCACCGGGTGTACTCGGCGTCGACTCAAGATTCCCCCCCCCCCCCAAAAAAAAAAAAAAAAAAAAAAAGCTCAGCTGCTGAGAAATTTGAGACAGGATGGAAGGTGCAAAGGTAATACCAAGGTACAACCTACAGGCTACTGTAGTACTACGAAGTACAGCCCAATCCAGCCTTGTGTGACTGTCTTACTATCTAACCTACTTTGCTGGATGAGCAATTGACGGGCTTTGCCTGGCCAGGCCTAGGTTTCGTCGTCCTTGTTCTATCTCCTGCTCCATGTTCTCTCGTCTTAACCAACATGACTCGGTCAGTCAATAGACTAGCAGCTAACGAGGTTTCCGTGAACTCTCACCTGTCTACTCCGTGGAGATGCATCGACCATCAGTTTTCCGACCGGGCCAGGCCATCTGGACGCAGCTCGGCGAGATCCGTCACGGCACTAGTGGAATCATTGGTTGTGGCCCGTCGACTTCACAATGGCTGTGTTCATCTAAAAAGGGTCTTGTCTTACTTCTTAGTTACGGTGGCTAAGTTAGTGTTCTGCACTCGTCTCGGGCTCTTTTTATTCTTGCTTTTCCTCCCATCATCACTGGGCCGCGTTCGCCCCTCTCCGTCCGCCCTCCGATTCCGGGCTCATCCATCGAATACTTCAGTATGACGGACAGCTTCACAAGTCGGATGTTAACCGTCCACGTGGGCCATGCATGGACCACCTGCCCTCCTGTTAACTGCACGATTGGAATTGAAGAAAAGACATACGGAGTATTTCGTGGAAGTTGGTGTGTTGTCTGCTACTCTACCGTACTTACTCTTATCGCATCGCCCCTTGTCACCAGTTCACCGTGATCGCACTCTGCGAGACTGACGTGCTAAGTCATCAGTCGGCTGATTGAACAGAGCTCTTCTTAGTTCAGCGCCCTGCGACAAGCGGCGGCAAATTCCAGCCAAATATCCTAGTACGGTCGTTGTGCTTCGATGCGGTATCCTGGTCACGGGTGTCGTAGACACTTGCCGTGCAAGGGGACCAAGCGACGCTATTGACCACCTACGCAATACTTGCAGCGTGCTATCTTGCGTTGGCCCCAGTCCACACGACACTAACTGACAACTTGGCTTGCAGACCAGCCGCCAACTATCCGGACACTGTTTCCTACCTCGTCTATTTCTCTCACTTTCTTTACCATTGGCAACACGCCAGGAGATACGGCAGCAGGAGAAGATGTAATCATGCGACTCGATCAGCCGGAGGAGTGATGACGAGGACCGAGGTCTGTGTAGACTGTAGTCTGATGAATCTTTGGGATCGGTAGAGATCTTGGTCGGGTAAGCGGCGGACCAGCTCCACTTGGAATCATTAGCTTCTGAACAGGGCTCGGATTGACTACCGACAACCTGGCGGCCGGTTGAAGGAGCCAGCAAGACAGATTCCTTGGTGTCAAAACCGTTGCTTTTTGCCCTTCCCTCGGCTTCGGCTACTGCACCGTGCGACTCCATCCGGATCGCGGTCTGCATCCTGCGTCCTGCTGCGTACCTAGGACTCAACTGTGGCATCCTGGCAGGAGGTTGGTCGGTTGCTTGCTTGCTTATTTGCCTGCAGGCTACAAACTAAACTCGCGTTTCTTGAGCTTAGCGGCGCACATTCTCCGAGCAATCCTGCTGACAGGTTAGGACTTGTTCCGAGCCTAGCAACTCAGCCGCACGCACACGAGCTTGAAATAATATCTAGCATTGACTGTCGCCATCGAGATTAATGTCGCGAAGTGGTCCGGAGGATCCAGGAATCTGCATCTCGATTCGTCCCCCCTCCCCTCAACCCCCCCAGGATTGCTGTCGCCGTAGTCTCGTATTCATTTCGCGGAAATATCAAGGCCAGGCGCTGCGGGCGAGAACTACTTTGCTAGACCCAACCGGCGTGCTTCCAGGCGATATGACAGCCTCTCGGCCGAACCTGCCAGCACTAAGCGGCTAGCCTCTTCACCCCCTTGAACAGTCATGTAGTCTAAGTTAGCTCGTTAGTTGGTATTTACTGGACTAAATTGGTAAGCCAAGATGTCGTAATCGAATATGATGGGAGAACAGCGCGAGGGTCAAAGCAACCTCGCCGCTCTACGGAGTATGCTGACCCGCTATTCAACAAGCCATACAGGCTAAGTACCCTTGGACTCCGATCTGGATTATCTAGGATGTTGTTGTTGTCGCTATCTCCTCGGCAAATCGGCAAAGTACCCTCGTCTACCAAATCGGGACAGGTGTCTTATCATGGATCAGTCTGAGCTGGGAGATTAGTACGTGAGTAAGTAAGTAAGTAGTCATCTGCATGAGTCGTGGATATCTCCCGATCCAGTCGGCATGCCCATGCTTAGTACCTACCGGTCATCATCCTAGTTCTTAACGGCTGCAGGTGTAATGAGTGCTCTGCTTGGATGTTTGATGTTGACAAGGGTTGATGCAGCTGCGTGTATGGTGTGAGTACTGGAAAGACAATGGGATGGTTTGAGGCTTTGATTGATTAAGTTAGGGAGATTCAGCAGTGTTGATGGCGAGATAGAGGACTTCGCCGATGATTGAGTTGGGACTGAAGTAGCAAGTATTGTCGACTTATGCTCAACTGCAGCTCGATGGGATAATTCTGGATAACTTCTGTGATGTACACTTCCAGTGTCTCTTAAGTATCATACGATCTCCGTAGGTGTCGATTCATTACTCTGCTTGGTAGGAAGTATATAATGAATCCCCCCCCCACCTCTTTCCCCCGTTGCGAGGATCCTTCTGATCCTCACACATTTTCAATATTTGGAACTCTGTACATCCTGTCACGGTAGGATTCAGTGATGCCCCTCGTGTCATTTGCCACATGGTCTTGCTGCGCGTTGGTTACGCCTCTCACCAGAGCCGTGGTATCCCCCAAAGTACATAAATGGAACTGTGTCGGCCACGATACTCGAGGGACTGGATTAGTACTCGCTAAACTACTGCTCTCTCATATACCTTGCTCCCCCCTTCTTTCAGCATTATCCAATCTGATGAGCAGTCCCCTTTTCATGCACAATCTAGACAACGAGAGCACAACAGACAAAGCCACTGCGACTCCAAGCTGAGGCAGAGGGAGGAGAACATCAAAATTCCATTTATGACAAACGACACCCCCTCAACCACCACACTCCAAAGCCCCTCCCTTCTACCCTGATTCACAACAATTCACCCCCTTACTCCTAAATCCTCACCACATCGAATGACATACGACCAAGCTCAACCCCAAACAAATACCCGGGGAAGTACCCTATCTATCCCTTACACCCGCTTCTCCCACCGCTCCACCACCACATCCACAATCCGACGCAGCCCCTCCATCTCCTCCTCCACCTGCAGGCCCAGCGAGGTCGGGTCGATGCTGCTCCCGACGTAGACGGGGATGCGCAGTCGGCGGGCGAGGATCTTAGCGACGCGCGTGGTGTATTCTAGGCTGTTGGGGGAGGTGTAGATTGTTGTGGAGAGGGGGGGCATTGTGGGGGATTTGAGCTGTTTGATTGGTTTTAGTTTGTATATTGGTTGGAAGGGTTGTGGAGGTGGGGTTGGGGAGTATCGGGGGTAGGAGTGAAGGAGGTATTGGATTGGAGATTTGGAATTATTGAGGGGTGGACTCAAGAAGGGGAGACAAGAGAAGGGTGTATGGTGGATAAAGGAGGGTGTATAGATGGATATGGAGGGTGGGTTGGGGATGATGTTTGATGTTTGAGAGTAGGTAGCGGGTGAATCAGTTTTGTTAAGGGTCTGCATCAATAGAAGGTACATAGGGTAGACTCCTGGGCAGTACGCCGTGAATAATAGAGATCAGATTGAGCTGGATCGACTAGGCAGACACAGGCAAAGATCTATCATATCAATACACAACTTACGTCAGGCATCGCGTACACCAAACTCCCCATCGGCTTCATCGTCCCGGCCGAGTCGCCCGGAGTCGAAGTGGCCAGAAACACCATGACACATGTCTCCAGCAGCGTCAGGTGGATATGTGCCGTCGTGTGGAGGGCCTTTGGTAGAGGGAAAGAGATCTCTTGCGGGTGGAGGCGGGGTGCCACGGGCTCTGCTGGTGCTGCCATGGTTGTTGCTTGTTGCTTGTTGCTCTGTATCGAGGAATGATGCTCGGTGATGGTGAGATTCGATGGCTCAATCAAATTTGCGCGTTGACTTTGAGTGAATCGCACTCGATTGTATGACTCCTCTCTTGTTGTTGGGTGGAAGTATGAATGGATGAGATGCATCCAACAACAACTGATGTCTTCCGCTTCGGGACTGGACGCTTTTCTTCGAGTCCGTCGTTTTCCCCGCCAAACAAAAAAGAAAGCGGGTCCCTCCGCGGCCGCGGCCGCCCTCAGTCCATCTTCCGGCTTCTTCGCTTCGGTTTTCTTCCTCGTGCGCGAACTGTCCGTCTGGATTTGGGTGTTTGCTTATTCTTAGTGACTGTGGATTATTCGCTCGTTTGCTTTCTATCTCTGCATATCCCTTGACCATGTCGCACGATATCACCACCACCATCGAGTCGGAACCACGCGATGACTCGGAAGATGTGCGCAGCTGGGCCGGGGATTTCGACCCGTTGGCCGACCAAGATGAACGCCGTGTGCTGTTCGCAGCTTTGGATTCCTTCAGGTGCGTGTACATGGCTGCGTTACACAGCTAGCTAGTGACATGCCGGGTGTCACCGTCAGATCTTATCGTTTGTGGTTGTAGTATGTAGACAGGATTATAGTTTCTTGCTCTACGCTGCCCCATACGGGAAAGGATTACCAGCTCAACATCTATGCTCACTGCATGACACTCCTTCAAGAACCCGGGAAAATGTCACTGACCATCGCAGACAATATCGGAGGACAGCGCATATGAACACCACGCACCGGCGACGACAAGCATTCTATGCGCTTCCCTCGGCGCATTGGCAGATGCTCGCCGAGCCTCCCTTCTCCATCCTGGAGAACTTCAACCGGGTGGACGACGCCATTGACGTGAACGCGGAGATAGCCGACGCGATCCTAGCCACTGGCCTGTCGTCCTTTGGCCTGGCGCCCGATCCCCACCCGGCAGACCCCCGGGGCAATTGGCACGGGACGGCAACCACCTCTGATGTCAACAAGGCCCATTCGACGCTGAGGCAATTCTACCGCGACTGGAGCGCTGAAGGCCGAGCCGAGCGAGAGCTCTGCTACGACCCGGTCATCCAGGACTTGCGGACCGAGTTCGGGGTGCGCGTCGCTGCCGGCCAGGAGATCAGGGTGCTGGTCCCCGGGGCCGGCCTGGGTCGTTTGGTCTTTGATCTCGCGCGGGCAGGCTTTTCTCCCGAAGGAAACGAGATCTCCTACCATCAGCTCTTGGCCAGTAGCTGGGTCTTGAACCACACTCTCGGTACGCAGAAGCATTCGCTCTATCCGTTTGCCCTGCACTTCTCGAATCTGTTGTCTCGGGAGCAACAGCTGCAGACCGTGAGGATCCCCGACCAACATCCGGGCACGGTGATGGCGGAATCGCAGGGCAACCCGGAGGCGCCTCGGTTCGGGCAGATGAGCATGTCTGCCGCCGACTTCGTGGTGCTCTACCGGCAGCCCGACAACCGGGAGGCATTCGATGCGGTGGCCACCGTCTTCTTCATCGATACGGCACCGAATCTGATCCGGTATATCGAAACGATCCACCACTGTCTGAAGGCCAACGGGCTGTGGATCAACACCGGGCCGCTGCTGTGGCATTTTGAGGACGGGGCCAACCGCAGCCACGAAAACAGCCACGATCCGCAGGACCAGGGGATCAGCGAGCCCGGGAATGTGGAGTTGACGGAGGCCGAAGTGTTCTGCCTCGTGGAGCGGATGGGCTTTGTGATCGAGCAGCGCCAGCCAGCGCACGAACGGCCGTTGTGTGGGTACATCCAGGACCCCAACAGTATGCTGTTGCCTTTGTACCGGCCATCGCATTGGGTGGCGCGCAAGAAAAGTGATTAGTAGAGCGGTGTCCTTCTTTTTATCTTTATTTTTATTTTTATTTCTTTCCTTTATCTTCGCATTGCTGGATATCTCAAAAGTCTCCCAGTATAGACAAAAGAATATACCTTACTAGTCAGTACATAGAGAGAATCATTGAATTATTTTTGGACCAGGAGATACCGGTAGTTATGGGGTAACTTATGGCAAGCCACGGCGATGGATGTGTGTGTGTGTGTGTGTGTGTGTGTGTGTGTGTGTGTGTGTGTGTATGTGTGGTAGTGAACTTATGGGGGGTTTGTTTGAATTTGAAACATACCCGGCCTGCCCAGGATTAATTGGGTGGAGACCAGAAGACAACTGGAAGGCAGTTCAGCCGCAGCCCGACAAAGAAAACGACGATCCAATTTGCCCATGACGGGCGAGGCTTAGCGGCATGGCATTTGGGGCCAAAACAGATTGATGGACGGATGGTTCCATGGCTGGTCCGGCAGACGGAATTGAGGAATTGCTCTATCAAAACAGATCCCGGAACTGTAAGAGACACAGTACTCCGTAGTACGGAATACAAATGCTGTGCTGGTGTAATAATAATGCCTTGGATTGGAACCCCGCGGAGTGACTGACCTGGACGTGGGATGCATACTTTAACCTACTTTGTTCGACTGAATGAGATCAAAGCAGCAAGCAACTAGTTAGATGGCATTGATTACTGCTCAATAGTACTTGTCTGGGTCTATATCACAGTCAGCCCAGTCCAGTTCAACGCACTGGTCACAGTTAGGAGCCGATCATTCCACAGGGGATTCCAGGGCGCATTCACAATTCCGGCAAATCTGACAGCCTGCCTCTCCAGCTTCCACCACCTGGGGTGCTTAATTTGTCACTCCTTCTCTCAAGTTCCTCCATTCACCTCTCTCCTTCTCTCCTCCAACAATTTTATCCTGTTCATCAGCATAATCAGGAACCAAATCAGTCCGTCCATCGACTCAGCCCTGTTGATTAGTGGCTGTTTTGAAAGTGTGCAGTGGTTGTTTGTTGTCCCCGCAATTTGACTCTCCCCACTTTCTCTCTCTCTCTCTCTCTCTCTCTCTCTCTCTCTTTCTCGCCCTCCCTTTGATTATCGATCACTCACTCACTCTATCGCGGCACTGCCTCCTCGCTATTTTCGCTCGTCTTACATCCGTTCCCTTTCTCCGTCTCTTCCTTTGACCACTTTCTTCCTCTCCTAACTCGTTCATATCGCTTCTTAGTCAATCACCTGCTTATTCTGCGCCAATCCTCGTGTTCTCCTCTCCTCTCTGTTCTGCTGCTGCTTGTTCCTCCCTCGCGTCCGCCTCTTTTCAATCTCCCCTCCCTCCCTCCCTCCCTCCCCGCCTCGTATCCCCCCCCTCCGTCTTCTTCCTTCCCTTTGTTCCCTCCCATCCGTCGCTTGAACGGTAGCTCACAATAAGGGACCTGATGAGCTCACGCTTAAACTTCAAATCGTTCACCTTTGGGACGAAGCGCAACAAGAACAACACAACCCCGCAACCTCCACCCGTGTCGACCCTATCAAGCCAGGGAATCAGCACTGCGCCCTCGACCACCACACTGGTCGCTCCTCCTTCCTCTACCTCGCCCAGCTCTCCTCCCTCCGGTCACAGCTCCTCTACAACCAGTCTACCCATGAACAACCAAAATTCGCTGGGCCGTCCCCCGAGTTATACCTACAACACGGTGGGCCGGCCCACCAGCCCGTTGCCGCCGGGCCCTCACCACCCGCCCTCCATCAACACGAGCCTGCAGTACTCGCAATCTCCTATGGGCGCTCCCCCGGGGTATGGGCTGCAGCAGCCCATGGCCCCGGGAATGAACCCCGGCCTGCATCAACCCCAATACTTGCGCAACCCCGCCGTCGAGGTCGAAGGCGCCGGCCGCAGCAAGGCCCAGCTGATCGTGGGAATCGACTTTGGCACGACCTTCTCCGGCGTCGCTTTCGCTTTTGCGACCAATAATGAAGCTCGGGAAGATATTATCACCGAGTGGCCTGGAGCAGGAACTCACACCAAGCAGAAGGTGGGCCCTTAACTTTTTACCCAAAATCTCGATGCAGACACCTCTCGGTTGCTAACCCGGGTTTCGGTCTCTCTAGATTCCCACGGTGCTATACTACGACCAATACCAGAAGGTGGTGGGCTGGGGCCCGGATATTGCAGACGCGCTGGCTCCGACTGGGTACCCAAAGCAAGGGGTCCAGAAGGTTGAGTGGTTCAAACTCCAGCTCATGCTCTCCGGCAATACCTACATCGACCCCATCAACCTGCCGCCCTTGCCGCCGGGTAAGTCCGAGATCGATGTGGCCGCCGACTACTTGTTCAAGTTGCGACAAGCCATGCGGGCTCAGCTTCAGAAGACCCTCGGTGAAGTGTTTACGCGGGAAGAGCGGAACATTCGATATTACCTCACCGTCCCGGCCATCTGGAACGATGCAGGGAAGGCGGCGACCCGTGCGGCCGCCCTCCAAGCCGGTTTCCTGCGCGACGAGAACGACAACCGCCTCACTTTGATCTCGGAACCAGAGGCAGCCGCCCTTTTCTGCGCCAAAACAGGGTTGCTGAACCTCAAAGTGGGCGATGCCATCCTTATTGTGGATTGCGGTGGTGGCACGGTGGACTTGATCGCATACGAGGTCGAAGAAGAGTCACCCTTCAGCGTTGCGGAATGCACAGGCGGCTCGGGTGATTCCTGCGGTTCCACGGCGCTGAATCGGAATTTCAGTAATATTCTGAGGGCCAAGATTCGGAAAATGAAGCTGCCCGAATCCTCCCGCACGGCTGGCAAGGTTTACGCCAAGTGCATAATGGACTTCGAGAATCGTATCAAGGCGGACTTCCGCAACAACGGCCAGAAATGGGCGGTGGATGTGGGTATCGAGGCCGACTTCCCCGATGCGGGCATTGAGGAAGGGTATATGACCTTCACTAATGAGGAAATCCTGCAATGTTTCGAGCCGGTGGTGAACCGCATTTTAGAGTTGGTGCGCAACCAGATCATCGCGATCCAAGCGCAGAACCGGTCGCTACAGGTATGTCGATGCACGCTTGATGTGTAGGGTTCCAGCACTGACCTTCGATCCAGAACGTTCTCGTGGTGGGTGGATTCGGTGCCTCCGAATACCTCTTCCAGCAGATCAAGTTGCACGTACCGCCACAATATCAGACCAAGGTTGTCCGGCCCATGGACTCGGTTGCGGCGATTGTGAAGGGTGCCGTGACGGCGGGAATCACTGAGCGGGTGGTCACCCACCGTGTGGCTCGTCGGCACTATCTGATGGCGACGCTACAGCCGTTCAAAGAAGGCTATCACCCGGAACAGTACCGGGTTCCCAGTCTCGACGGTCGCGACCGCTGCAAGTACACGCGGCAGATCTTCATGCAGAAAGGCGAGAGAGTCAAGATAGGCGAGCCGGTCAAGGTCAGCTTCTTCCGGCAGGTTGCTCCAGGGGCCACCCTCATGTACGAGGATATTCTGTATGCCTGTGACGAGGATGTGTGTCCCGAGTACACCAAGGATCCACGTGAGTCCATTTGCTTAAGACACTTGCTCATCAGAACTGACACATACTGCAGGCATCAAGGAAGTGGTCACCCTTACATCGGACCTCTCCCGCAAGAACCTTGAGACGGATTTTGAGCGCATGGACACCCCTCAAGGAACCTTTTACCGCGTTTACTTCGATATCTACTTGACTCTTGACGGCAGTGAGTTCAGTGCAGAACTGGTGTGCCAGGGTGAAGTGATGGGACGCTGCAGGGCCAAGTTCCGCTAGTTTTGCTTTCAACTTTACCTGAGGAAGGGGGCGCGACAGGATACAAAGATGATGATACCCGGTAGAAGAAAGAGAGTCGGTCCGCAGTTTCTTTTTTTTTTGATCCATCTACGCGTGCGATACAACCATTCATGAGACACAAAGATGCTGCAATAGGATGGCGTTTAATTTTTTTTTTCTTTCTCCTTGAGTGGACGCTTTGTATCGAGCTTGATTTGGTGGTCGTCGCAACGGAAGCACACCAGTATCAAGTCGGTGGGGCCTCCATTCTGTGGTTGGACATCCTGGTTATACTTTGATACCTTTTGCTCGAGATGATGCTTGATGAACTGTTTCGTTATGTTTGGATATAAGCCGACCTCTGCCATGATTGAGTATACGATTGATTACGCGCAGCTTGAATTGTTCCCGTAGAGCAGGTGGACATTAGGAGAAGTAATGAAACCATCATCGTCTCATCAGCTAGACGTCGTCATCCATACTAAAACACGAATCAAGCACACGCACCCATCCTCCTCGAGCAGCTTGACTGCTGATGGGTGCTTGTCGAAGTGTGACCTGCCGGTGTCAGATGGGTGGCCAGCCTGCTGAGCTAGGGAGGCCCTAGCTTCTTGCTGCTATTCATGTACAGGGGAATATATGTTGACGATATTTTGCCGAATCAGTAAGACGGATATAGATGCCCTGCCTGGTCCGTCAGGCATGAGGAAAGTAGTGCCTTATCATGTTGCCTTTAGGCCGATGCCTTGATGGACTCTGATGGGTGGGATGGCTGAGGCTTCTGAGTTTGTTATGACTTGGGGAGGAGGGGGGGTGGGGGGGGTCCATGATGGAAAGGGGCTGTCTACTTGATCTTATAGGTGTGAATTCTACAAATAACTCATAGGTTGTTGGTTATGTGCGGTCTTCCTGCTTGGGATTCATGGGTGGGTGGTATATACTTCCACAAGCCGCGGTAAGTCGTACTAAGTAGTAACAAATCGCAGCGCAGTAACAGCAGCAGCAGATCTCGACACCACGGTGCCATACAGTACATTTATGACTATTTTCTCTGCCTGGTACCCAGTAGCAGCACGAAGAAGACCAAATTATAACCCGGAGTAAGCATAATGAACTCCCCTGTCCAAAGAATATCCCCCCATCCAGAAGATGTCAGGATTGGGGAACGAAAAGGGCAGGGAGAGCGAGAAATCATGAACTCTTCACTCTTCATGAGAAGGGGCTACTCGTGATCATAAAATAATGTAAGTACCGCATAGACAGATAGAGATATCATGTGTGTATGTATAGGATACTCCGTAGACGAGGCAGTA